CCCCCCCCCCCCCCCAGCTATGTCTGAGTACAGCTTCACATAGACAGACTGCAGACTCTTGTTTCTCTCTAAGGATCACCCAACAAAAACAGCAGAGGACACATGCAGCAACAACGTGCTGAAGTTGTTATGTAGCACTCATCTTCCCACAACATATCTCATTGTTCAACACTCCCCAGCTCCCAACTCTATCCAATTCCTTTTGAAGTGTTACTGCACATCCAACATAACATTCAATTGATTACCACAGTTGACACTGCAGGATTTAAGTTTCAAAAAGTCTGAGCTTTTCAAATTAATTCCAGAGGGTCTTGTTGCCCCTGGACACTCAGGCTTACAGCGGGTCCATGATAATGCAGCCTACTGAACATCATCAGCAACACATTAACCAAGAAAACTCCACCACAGTCACATCTGACCAAACACCTCATGACTCATACCTGCAAGACTATTCCTTCACCTTTCATCCCTCCACCTTAAGCACAAAATGTTGGTCTATAACTGCCAATTTCAACCAATTTCTTCTTCAGCCAAACCATAATGTAGGACAGTGGTTCCCCACATGCGGTCGCAAGATAAATCTGAATGTCTCTGCTAGACAAATGTATCCTTATTTCCTACTATACTCTGACTTCATCAGGACCCCTAAAAATTATTTAGTCTTTGGTTGAAATGGTCACAACTGGCAGACATCTGCATCTGGTGACGAGGAGACACTGCTTTGTTTTTTACGGGGTCACAAACTAAAAAGGTTGGGAACCAGGACTATGATGAAACTTGGTGTCTAAGCAGCCACCTCCTCCTTGCACAAAACCACCCACAAGATGTCGAGCATCAGGAGACTTTTTACCTCTTCTCGCCCACAAATACCAAATGGAGATGGTCTATGAATGAAAGAAGACAGATTCAGTATTGTCTGTTGATTTTCAATAAAATACTGTTTGTGTGTTTGTTTCCAGGGATTAAGTTTAAGTGATACAATGTGTTCATGTGACCATCAGCAGTACAGTGCTACAGAGATTATGTACGATCTACACAGGTTCTGATATATTGACGTTATAACCAATACCAGCTTCACAGAACAATAAGCATCCAACAACATGTTTTGATTAAAACAAGCCTAATTAACTTAATACAACTGTCATAGTAGCAATGGAGTTCTTTGAAAAACAAAAACAATATTACATTACAGTAAATTAAATCTTCAAAGTTTTTCACATGCAAATATGATTACAGACCATATTGAATGAAAAATACTGGTCTCATTTTCTGACTGCTGTTATATTTCAGGAACCTAAATTACTGTCATGTTCTAAATCAATAGCACCATGATATACAGCTCTGTTTGTGTATCAGTACAGGGACTTACATAGATGACAAATGAGTGAACGTTAAATAATTATTCATGAAAATGTTGTACACTGTCACTGTAAAGTAAGATAAGATGTTCCTTTATTGGTCCCCAGTGGGAGAAATTCAAGTTTAACACAGCAGCACAGGGGTGCCAGTGTAAAAATACAATAAAGAATAATAAAATATGATATGGATATAATGAAAAATATATACACCATACACTAGATTTACTGTATTTTGGCTTAGTTCTACGTTTTTGTATCCGGCCTTACCGTTTGCGCGCCTGTAGCTTTTTAATTGGTCCACTCTTGATGACTCTTAATTGATGGCCCTTGTGTGCAGGTGAGGCCTCTGTGCGCATGCGAGCAAAAAAGCGTCAACAATCCGGCGATGTCTTGCAAACAGAAAACAGAAAATACTTCGTTTTTATTTGTGGTTAGCGTTTATTTTTACACGTTTGTCGTTTGTTACTCGGTAAGTTTAGGACAGCGGGAGGAAGGTTTGACTGACTACCAAGTTCAAGAGTCCGCAGCTACCTTGTTGGAGAGGATTAAACAACAGGACGACGTCCAGCTGGGGAACTGGCGCCTGGTTGAACAAGTGATCTCCGACCCAAATGTGCGCGAATCCACCGAGCTTCAGCCTGAACCTGCAGCCTTCCCCGGAGAGCCACTACCGTATTTCAATGTACCCAAACTCGGTGACACTGACAGTAACTGGACTATTGGTGATTTCAGCAGGAAACCAAGGTCTGAAGACAAATATCAAGCAGATTTTACAGGTGAAAGCGCCGATTTATTTAACCCATCAGTGTCCGTTTACACTTAAGTCAGTTTGGGCTGAAGACTACAATGTTTAAAATCTGGAGGTGTGAAGTTAAGTTGGAGTACTCTCTTAAGAGATGTTAGTGCAGGGATACTTGGTTTGCCTGGGGGCCACTGTTGAAATATGACTGTGGGGCCTGTTAATAAACAGACAATAATATTTAGCAGATCAAATAAATAAACATTAGAGTTGTTGATGTGGCTAAATAAAGACGACTTCAAAGTCATAATCTCATTGCTGTGGTGCTTCCAGGCCGGAGCTCTGCACTGCAGTTACGCTTAAGTGACAGTGGTTTAGGATTGGAGTGAGGTGGCAAAATAAAGCCACATTTATCTGTCCATTTTTCATTGAAATGCCTGTTTTTATTGTTAATTTGCTGTCCTCACTCATCTTTTCCAAGAGACAAATCCAGTCGCAGCAGCTCAGAAACAAAGTGTCAGTGCTTCTGTGCACTGCACAGATAGCAGATGGTGAGGTTGGTGATGATGGCAGAGGTTAATATGCAACTTCCCAAGTAACAGCCATTACTAATTATTTTAAATGAACCAAAAAATCTGAGTGTGAATGAATTTAGAAATAATAGAATTTAGAAAGAAAATGATCGGCTGGCAACCCGGCACCCTGAACTCATCTGTACTGTGTTAGTGCCTTGATAGAGAGTAGAGCATTGGTTCCCAAACTGGGGTTCCACTGGGGGTCGCCAAAACTTCACGGAGAGGTCGCAAAACCTTCTTGATTTTAAGCGGTGTAAGATAACTTAAAAAAACTATACACATTAGGCCTATATCTCAGCATTTTGTTCATTCCTGTGAAAAAAACTAAATGAAATTGTATTTCTCTTTAAGTTTATAAAGTATGTATGAGTATTAAAAAAATGGAAAATACACAATACAGACTCAAAATGAATCTAAATTGCTTGTTTTACACAAACTTCCTGCAGTTATTGTGTTCACTATTTGGGTTCATTATCCAGTTTATCAGTTGTTCTGATAGTGGTACTGTTACTGTTATTGTCACGCATTGAATATAATATATGTCACTTGGTTAGCGGTTGTCCGTTTACTCAATGATTTCTTAAGGAGAGAGGTTGGACACCACTGCAGTAGAGGGTAAACCAACCTAATCTCTTCTTTATTTACATGTTTTTATATCATTTAGGTTTTGGTGGAGTCCAAGGGAACGTTTTGGGCCCATCATTTGATTCCACTCCACATTTCTCTGAGTGGGTGGCTATGAGACCTTCGGTGCAGTGTGATGATAATGTCATGACCTTCACTGCCTCTGGACACGGATTTGCACACCTGTTAGTGGATAGAGGTAAGATATACTTCTGGTGCTGTTTGAATTTAGTTCACCAGGCTCAGATGGAATATGCAAATGAGGGGGAAGGACCTCTTGTTGCAGGTAAAAGAGGCACATAGTTTCAGTACAGAAATGAAGGGCCTTCATTTCGCATAGCGAGGAAAGTGAATGTGATGCATATTTTCAAAAGTTTAACATGCATGAGCCTGTTTTGCTCCCTATTTTATGCTGGAGATTTTCTTTAGATGGAGGTAATTTAAAATGCACATGTAAATATAGTAATAGTAGTAGTAGTAAGTGTAGGCTTTGTGGTGGAAACTAGTGTCCTGTTGATCTAAAAAAACAATAGCGTGAGCTTAAAGTTATCCTTTCATTCTCCATGAATCTGCCTTTTACCCACAATTAGTTGATTATTTATGCCGTAAAATATCCAGGAGAACAAGAGAAAAGTCCTTCAATTGCTATTTTTTTGCAACTAACAGTCTAAAGCTAAAAGAAATTCAAAATACTATACTATACTCATATTAAACAAAGAAAATCAGCAAACTCTCACCTTTTAGAAGCTGGTGAATATAAGCCACTGAATATTAGGTGTTTCAGCTTGATAAAAGCTTTTATCCATTAATCAATTATCACAATTGTTAGTTAATTTTCAGTAGATCAATTAATCTTCCAGTTGTTTCAGGACTAAAATGAGCTGTTCGACATTTGATCTTTACAGAGGGAACCTCCCCCATCTCCCTGTTCCAGTTGCCTTCATACTGTGGTTACTCGGTGAGGATGTCGTGGAGTGACCTGGAGATGATGGTGCCTTATGATGCATGTTACATTACACAGGAGGTACCACCAGCACCTGCATTATATTCCCATCAGTATTCATTCCTCTGTCCTGTGTTCATCAACCCCGTTTTTTTTCTTTCTTTCAGAATGGCAGCTACGTGCTGCCCATGTTGTGGTGGGGCAGCCCACTGAAGCTGTCCTGCCCAGTGCAGATGTCCACCTCTGCCCCCTCCTTGTCCCCCTTAGTCTATTGCTCCCCCTACGGCATTGCAGTGCAGATAGATGGGCAGGAGCAAGATATAGCAATGCTGGGAGTCATAGGTACATTGGCTTTTCACATTGGATTCACGCTGAGTTGTTTCTTAAATTTAAATTGTTTTTAAATGACAATTATTTTAATGGTAGTTTTTTTTTTCTTCCATATTTATCTGAAGAATATATCAAATCTAAATTTGACATGCTGGTCATGTCTTCAGTAATAAATAATGAAATAGAGGATTCATTATATATCCACTAGAATTGTATTCCTTGCAGTGTGGAGAACGCCTCTGAAACAGAATTTGGACATGATTTTAGAAATAAAGAAGGCCACAATTTATTTTACAGGTCCATAATTTCCTAATAAATCATGAGGACATTTACTGGAATACATTACATAATCTGATACTATGTGTAGGTAAAGCACATAGTATCAGATTAAGTAATCAGCCTAGAAATATGTTAGTTTAAGCTGTCGAACATAAACTTTTCTTGAAATTCACAGAAAAAATAAATAAAAAAAACGTGTAATGTGCTTTACAGTGAATGGACGTTGGGGTCCATTTGTGTCTCAAGAGTGTGCGTACCGTGTCTACTCAAATCCTGAGCAGCTTGCCTTCTTCATCTCCTACAGTGCTCCGTGTATCACTGATGGAGTAAGTTATTTAACTTGTATGCATAATTGCAGCGGGCTGCCACCTGCACCAATAATATATTATGTTGATTTTTTTTTTCCCAGGATGGTCCTCATCTCCACCTTATATTAGATGAACAGGAATACGTCCTCTCCTGCCCAGCCAGTGCTCAGGTTCCCTACATCCCCTCTCCTCCTCTGTCTCCTGATGACCACCAGTTTCTCCGAATCCCAGATCCTGTTGGCCCTGCACCCACCTCCCCTCCTCCTCCCCCTCCTCAGCCTCCAACCCAGGAGCAGATTGCTCAACTTCCTAACTACCCCCACTATCCTGGATTCCAGTACCCCCAGTTTCCCCAAGTCTACCCTCCTGGCCCACAACCTGGCCGTCCCGCTCAACCCACTCCTGGCAGTCCTCCTGGTTCGCAGCCCCAGCAGCAGCAGCAGTTCCTCTACCCCTCGGGACCTGGCAAGCTGCCCTACTCTCCTGGAGAGCCCCCAAAATACCCTTCCCTTCTTCACCACCCTGCTGCGGTGTTCCAAGCTCTGTCCTCCCCCAATCTTAGCCCATCGCTGGATATTTCTCCCCATCACGTTTCCAAATTCCCTGCTGGCCCTTCTCAACATCACTCTGGTATGTATTACCCTTATGTGCCGTTCTACTACCCTGCAGTGACACCAGACACCACTACTACAACTGCTCCTCCAGCTACCCAACCACTCGAACCTCCAGCAAATCTTTATCCCCCACAGTATTACCTTCAGATACCTCACTATCCTGCACCCACTGCAGCACCAGTGACCCAAGCACCAGTGACCCAAGCTCCTGCTTCCCTCCCTCCCAGCCCACCGTCTACTCCCTCTCCACATAAACAACAGTACCCAGTCGGCCCATTTTATCTACCAACATTTTATAACTCTTACTATCATTATGGACAGTTTCCCTACCCTTCATATGCTACAGTCATTCCACCTCTCACCACAACTGCCACTACGACAATGGTTCCCAAACAACCTGGCAGCCACAGCTATTCCTTCAGCCAGTTCTACAACCAAAGACCCATTTATGTCCCACCAACCACACCTCAGCCGTCTGCCAAAGAAGAATCTCCAACTATTCCTCAGGAACCTCAGAAACCAGCAGCTCCACAAGCCTCCTGCCCCCCTTATGCTCACACAATTTGTGGCTACTACCCTTATCCCTATTTTCCCTATTACCACCATACGTACCTGCCATACTACCATCCACCTTACCCCCCTGTGCCCCAATATCCAGCGACACCAATGACCACCACAAAGCCTGTCACCTCAACCACCACAAAGCCTGTCACCTCAACCACCACAAAGCCTGTCACCTCAACCACCACCACAAGTTCTACAGCAGCTCCCCCGACTGAAACCACTCCACAAATCCCCCATCTCCAGTGTCTGATGGAGAAGATGGTTGTCTTCCTGCCTTTTGCTCACACAGACTCCATCCAGGTCAGAGGTCAGTGTTTGTGTTAGTGAGAAGTTTGGCTATTCATGTTTTCAAAGAGAAACAGTTATTTTTTTGCATAAAATCCATCTTCAACTAAAAGTATCTTCAAAGCTCTATGTAAATAATGTATTTGATACTATGGCAACCCCCTGACCTCTCCTCTAGCACCACCATAAGGTACAAAAGTTTGGTTTTGAGTGAAGTACCACAAAACTGTTGGATGGCCTGCCCTTAAAGTTTTGGTACCGCACATTCTGTGCCTATCAGGATGAATTGTAATTACTTGATGATCCCTTTTTTTACCTAAATTCACCATCAAGACAACACTTCAATTTGTTCAGTACTTTGGTTTATGATCAAATGCAACTCATGACATTCAGTCTCATCTGTACTTTGAGTTCTGTGCTAATTAGCAGATGTTAGCATGGTAACAATGCTAAACTAAGATGGTTGACATGGTAACATACAGGTATCCAACCACAGTGTACCTAGATCAGCTTTTACTTCTCAAGAGGGCAAAAAATTAGCCCCATTTACCGGCCAATTGCTGGTAAAATATTCAAGTGGAAGATCTAACTATCATTGTTTCTAACTTCAGACCAAATGGAGTCATGGCTGTTCCTCTCCAGTGTGTCTCCACTGTGTGGGTACATGCTACAGATGGCTGAGGACTCTGGGGTAATCCTTCACTCTCCTCTGCCTGCCTGCCACAGCGAGCCACGGGTGAGATCCTCCATAATGCCTCGTCACTGCCTGCACGTGTCATTTTTATATAATTGCTTTTACTTTAATGAAGTCCCTGTTCTTAAAGAGAGTTTATTTGATGTAGTGTAGTTATCTGATGAGTGGATGAACTTGTTAGACACTTATTTAAAAAAAGAGAGCCTTTTAAATCTGGATTTACAGTAAGTGTTCTTAAAGTGCTCATAGATCAAGTTTTTGGATGCCATAAAGTGTGTGTGAATCAAAACCCTTGATTTGGAAAGAGAATACCTCACACTGTCCATAACTTGAATTCTCTTTATAGACTGTTTTGGGCCTTTCATGAAGGTCTGAGGACTGAGTTTGATCCATATAAAATGTACATTTTGTCAATACAAGTCGATTACAAATGACAATTCAACAGCTCCATACAGGCATAAACTTAAATTAGTTTGACATGAGCTATGAATAAATTAAAATGGGCGGACAAAATACTGAAAATGTCTTGATGCAGTCCGATACAATGACACCACAAAGTAACACATTTTCTTGTATTGCTGACGCTGGTGGTTTGCATCACTTAGGTTGTCAGTACAGCGATTTATGACACCAGTCCTGCTAGCATATAGAACACAGACGAGCAGTTTTTCCCAGTCAGCAGCTCATTTTTTATGATTATTCCCATATGGACTATATGCAGCATTTACTCTGCATGCATCTGCATTGGGTGGAGTTTTTTTATGTTCTGTGCAACCCAACTGGTAAGAACCCTTTTTTTTGTGTGTGTGTGTTTAGCTCAACTTGCAGACTCTATTTTTATAAACAGTAGCTGGAAACATGCGTGGTGGTTCATCCTGGCTATTGATCTCTCTCTCTCTTTAGACTCCCACCACCATTTCCTTACCTCTGAGGTTTTGGGACCTTTCCATTGCCAAGTATAGGACTCTGGACTTGCAATGCCCTTATCAAATGATCCCTGAAACTCCTGAGCCAGTTACAGCACCAGTTACCCCATCAGTGTCCCCTGCCCCACCCAGCACCACCGCGAGCAAGGTCAGCCCGTCTGTTGTCCCAAAGCATCAAGTCTTCTGCTCCTCCAATCAGATGACCGTGGAGCTCCCCTCTGGTCCCATCTCTGGAATTGTTGTTAAAGGTGTGTGTGTGTGTGTGGTGTGTGTGTCTTTTATTCTGTGTATTATGTTCCTAGGTGTCTTATGGTGGATCAGGCTGCGTCGCATGAGTGAAGTTGCTTAACAGTGTGGTGGGCCAGCTCCTGGTGGCGGTGCAGTTGACCATGGAGGGTGGGTAAAGAGTCAGGTACTATTTTTTTGATGCGGGCACACCTGTAAAGGACTCTGTGCTTTGCGCACGATGCTGGAGAGGGGTATGAATGTGGAGTTTTGAGGAGGAGAGTCTACACAGAAACATATGACTGCTGGAGTCTTCGAGGCACGGTGCTTGTTTCAGACATCAATAGGGAAGCCCTGAGATGAACTCCAGGATGCCCCCACAAGGCACTGTGGTATTCTGCAAGAAAGAAGGAAGAGATGCAAATCCCGGTTTGAGGTGCTCCATTACCACCCCGGATGGAGTGTCGCAGGCAAGATGACTCAGGAGATGTTCACACTGAGAGCACAGCGGAGCGGCGTTTCTGGTATAAAGTGCGAGACGGCGCATGGTTGCTGGGGCCTACCGGGGCCTGGACTTTTGTATTAAACAGTTTCTTCTCTAGAGTAAGGTGTCGAGACAGGCTGGGTATGCCATCCACAGTGGTTACGCCATGACAGTGAAATGGAGGGCAGAAGCGGGAGGGCTCAGTTTTTCTGTGCAGTTACAAATTCCCGGGGTCCGGACAAGGTAGCATGAGAGTTGTGTTAATGACCTCTGATAAAGGCTTATGTCATTTGCGCCAGTATAGAAGGGTGTTTTCTTCTGGGCCATCAGAGTTATTTTAACTGTGCGGGCTGGACATTTGTCGTGCGCTGATGCCCTCAGAGTGCACAGCTTTCCCAGGTGAACATGGTCTCCCGCGGACCCGGCTCTGGTCATCCCAGCAGCAGTGCCTCTCCATGGGCTGCTGCTTCGAGCAGAGGCGCCCTGCCTGTAGGTACGCTCAGTAGAGGGTGAGCGTGCAGGTGCTGTATCGCCCCCATGGCATTCACGCCAGCTTAGCGGAGTACAGTGAGCTGTTGTTGGCGCGGTGCACGGGAGATAACGCGGCTGCAGCTGGGCTGGATGTGTGGAGGAGATATCAGGCGAGCATTAGCAGGTGATCAGGGGGGCGGTGACGACAGAATATGAAAACAGGTAGTACGAGTAACCTTGCCGGTCGTCATTATCAATGTGGTCCTCTGAGACGTTGTCTGATTTGGGTGCGTGACCCTCACACCTAAATGCTGGCAATGTGTAGATCTCTGTAATGTGATGTTGTTTGTATCTGCCCTCGCAGGAGGTGCATGATCTTGAGCGGACCACTGTTGTCTGCGTGCCGGCCTCCCCATCGCGCCGCTCTTTCCTGCCAGGGGTCGGGAGGCGAGCGGCAGAACCTACCGTGAGAGTGTATCAGACTGACGCCCCGCGGAGTGTGATCGGTGCGGCGGCTAGGCAGCTCCGACCTGGATGTGGGAGACAATCTGTACGCTGTAAGCCTGAGAAGCATTATTTTCCCCAAAATATGGAAAGTGAGACCCTGAGTTATTCTGGAGGTGAAGTTAATGGAGTGTTTATTTAAAGGACATGATGTTATGCTACAAACCCCATCGAAAAGACGCTAAACTAAACAATGAACTGATAAACTGCGCAAGTACTTCCTGTGTAGCCCAAACTGCCCCTAACTGACCGCCTGTATTCCCATCGACACAGTTCTTGGTACATGCTTAGTACTTTACGTAGTGTTGTATATATCTAAATTTGCACCTGTCTGATGTTGTCACGCACTGTGGGAAAACCCTGAGTCAAGTACAGGTCGGGGATGGTTTCATCGACAAGGGTTCGGCAATCAGTCTCAACCTAATGGCACAGTAACAGGGATTTCGCCTGTGAGGTCAGAGCGTGTGTTTTCTCTTTTGTTATTATCGGGGCAATGAAGGTTACGTTCAAAGGCATTAAGGTCTCTTCATCTTTAGCAAACACTGAATAGTTTGGGGACGTTTTAGCGTAATTAGTTTATCATATTTAAGTTACGTTTTGAGCGTCTGAAAGTTACACACGAGGTTGGGAGGAGAGGTTCACATCCCTTCGTGGGGTTGAGTGGACTTATAGAAAACAGCAAGTGTGAGGCAAAGACATTATGACTAACGTTTGGAACCCAGCCGGACAGTTTGAGGAACGGGGCAAGAAGTTAGACGAAACAGGGTGACGGGGGACCAGCCATGCCAATTGGTCGGTGGAAGTGCAGCCGGAGTGGCAAGTCAGCCCAAGGCAACCGTCGAAAGAAAGGCAAATCAGGGCCCAAAAAACGAAACCTCCAGCAGGACGGTGCCGAGACAAGCACGAAACCGAGGGCAGAGCGGGCGAGGGCGCGCGGTTGTGTTGATTGGCTGGTCCGTAGCTGTAGGCTGGGGGGGGGGGAGCAGGGATCGGCCGAGCCGCGGGGGAGGGGAGCGGACAGGAAAAGTGAGCACGAGGACCGGGCCGGCAGAC